TAACTCACACAACCCTGCCTTAGTACCTGTATGAGTATTTCGAGTAACTCACACAACCCTGCCTTAGTACCTGTATGAGTATTTCGAGTAACTCACACAACCCTGCCTTAGTACCTGTATGAATATTTTGAAGTATAGGTTAAGAACTCAATTGTGAGTCAATAAAAGATATTACTTTTTATTCAAAGAATCTTTCTTTCCATACGTATTTTCTGAAAAAACAGTCGTCACAGTCTTACAAAAGATGAAAGCTGAATATAATTCTAAATAAATGCTGTTTTTAAAAAAAATGTCTAAAAATCAATTTATTATTATATAAAGTTCCTTTTCTCTTTTTGACTTTTACCACAATCACCTCTTTACATATAGCCAAAACCAGATAAAGACGTGCTAAGTCGATTGAGGTGTAGAGTGTATTGATAATTAATATTCTAAAATCCCTTTTTAAGAACTGACAATTTTGTATAATAGCAAACAAGCTTCTGTTTATACAGGAGCCCTGTTGGCACAGTGGTTATGTACCAGGCTGCAATAGGCAGGGTCTGTAGTTCGAAATCACCAGCTACTCGGAGGGAGGAAGGAAGGTCTGAAGCGTAACTGTCTAATAACTCACAAGGGCAGTCCTACCTGTCCTTATAAGGTTGCTCTGAGACAGCACGGACTCCATAGATGGCAGTGTGCTCACACACAGCGGAATGGAAAGAAGCCCCATGTAGTACGTGAAATAAGGAGCGATGGCTACTTGACAGCACTGTGAGGAGGATGCGGTTGGGCAGAGTGCAGCTCTTTTGTACATGTGGGTGGCTGAGTCAAACCAGCTTGACGACGCTTTAACAACAACCTCAAAACTAGCTGCCGTGGATTCAATGCTGACTCATGGCCATGCCCTGCAGGTTTTCAAGGCTTTAACAGTTTACAGGAGTAAAAGGCCCAGCCAATCTTTCTCCCTCGGAGCTGCTGGTGGTTTCGAACTGCCGACCATGCTGATCAGTCCAACTCCTAAGTACTACATCACCAGGGGTCCTCTGACAACAATAGATAACCTTTCTTTCTTTACATCCATCAATGCATTTTACATAGTAGCATCTACTGATATTAAGTAAATAAAACAATCAAGTAAGAAAGAATTTAAAAGACCTCTCTAGAGAAGTCTGAGGGGCTGGGCCCAATCCCAACTACTTGGACAGACCCCCATCCCTGCAAAAGAATTCACCTCAGAGGACAGCACTGAAGTGACAGCTCAGGGAGAGGAAGTGTCTGATCAGAGCACTTGAAGGAAGAGGAAGAGTGAGTGTAAAACACCCTGGCCCACCAAGCCCTGAGCACGATATCCCCACTCAGAGCAGCCAAACCACACAGAGGACCATAGGCCAGCCCCAGAAGAAGACTCGAAGCCCCTCACTGACCATAACGCTACAGGGTACAACACGGGAAACACAGAGGGAATTGCGCCCGATCTGACCCCACCACCCTGACGCAAAACACTAAGAGTGCAACAGAACGGCAAGGAGAGCAGAGCAAGGAAGTCCCCAGAGAATACCAAATAGACTGTGGGGTCGGGGCATGGCACCCCATGAGACTCGACCAGAAAACCCTCCTAAAGATCAACAAACAGACCTTGAACTAACTGTCGCTGGTTTGTGGTTGCTGTTTTGTTTTGTTTTTCCCCTGTTGGTTTGTTCTGCTGTTTTTTGTGTGCATATTTTTATCTCGGCAGGTCTATCTAGATAAGATAGGCGGGATAAACAATCTGGAAGAGACAACAAAGGGACTGACGGTTCCTGAGGGGCATGGGAGAGGGGGAGGTGGGCGAAAGGAAGTGGGTGTTAACAAGCCCAGGGACAAGGGAACAACAAGTGATCCAAAATCAGAGGAAGGTGTAGCAGAGCTGGTAAGGATTGATCAAACGCAATGTAAATGAGAGGAATTACTGAAACTCAAATGAAGGCTGAAAATGATAGGGGGACATGGGTTAAGTAAAAGAAATAGAAGAAAGAAGTAGGAGGCAAAGGGCATTTATAGAGGTCTAAATAAAGGCATGTACATATGTAAATATATTTATATATGATGATGGTAAAATCGATCTATATGCATATATTTATAGTTTTAGTATTAAGGTAGCAGATGGACATTGGGCCACTACTCAAGTACTCCCTCAATGCAAGAATACTTTGTTCTATTAAACTGGCATGCTATTAAACTTGATGCTCACCTTCCAGACATGATCGCTGAAGACAAATGGGTGCATAAGCAAATGTGAAGAATGCTGATGAAGCCCAGGGTATCAAAATATATAGCATCTGGGGTCTTAAGGCCTGAAGGTAAACAAACGGCCATCTAGCTCAGAAACAACAAAGCCCACATGGAAGAAGCACACCAGCCTGTGTGATCACGAGGTGATGATGTGATCGGGTATCAGGCATCAAAGAACAAAAAACCTTATCATTGTGAATGAGGGGGAGTACAGAGTGGAGACCCAAAGCCCATCTGTAGGCAACTTGACATTCCCTTACAGAAGGGTGTTGGGGAAGAAACAAACCAGTCAAGGTACATTACAGAAAGTTGAAACATACAGCTTTCCTCTAGTTCTTTAATGCTTCCTCCCCGCCACTATCATGATCCCAATTCTACCTTACAAACCTAGCTAGACCAAAGGATGTACACTGGTACAGATCAGAGCTGGAAACACAGGGAATCCAGAACAGATAACCCCTCAGGATCAATAATGAAAGTAGAAATGATGAGAGTAGGGAAGGTGGGGTAGAATGGGGGAACCAATCACAAACGATCTACATATAACCCCTGGACAACAGAAAACTGGGTGAACGGAGACATCGGACAGTGTAAGACATGACAAAGTAATAATAATCTATAAATTATTAAGGATGAGGGAGGGAGGTTGGGAAAGGGAGGGGGAAAATGAGCCGATACCAAGGGCTCAAGTAGAAAGGAAATGTTTTGAGAATGATGATGGCAACAAATGTGCTTGACACAATGGATGGATGGATGGATTGTGAAAAGAGTTATATGAGCCCCCAATAAAATGATTTTTTAAAAACCAAAAACAAAACAAAAAAAAACCCTCTCTAGAAAGGATGAAAGCTCATTGACTACATAAATAGAAAAATAAATAAATTCTTACGTGTGTTGCTGATGTAATTTTGCAATTTCCTTTTCAAAATCTTCAGGTTGATTAGGAATGAAAGAATAATCTGAGAGGCAGCCTGGCAGAGTCTCTGACTGACTGTAATCTCCCAGTTCAGCTAATAAGTAGAAGGGAAATATCTCACTTTAATAAACACAGTAATATTATCAATTCCATCTCTAGAAGTAAAACATTTGTTTCTAGTGTTTCCACTCAAGCAAGTTTGAACAATTTTAACATTTTACTGGCATTGAGACAATTTCAGGGGGAAATTTTTTTCCAGGAAACAAAATAATTATTAATTGGGCATTTCATTAAATTTCCTCTACAGAATATTAGTTTTCGCTCCATAGGAATGTATGGCCTTGGGTGAAGCAAACAGTTAAGCCAAAGGTTGGTACTTCTGAAAGGTACTGTTCTACTCTGCACACATGGGCTTGTCATGAGTAGAAACTCAACTTCCCATGACTAACGAGTCCAAAGAGCTCATGTGTTAAAGGTAGTGTGTTGTCGATTAAGATCACATGATCATATGCTATTTGACCTAAAAATAGGCTAATACTTACACTGAACAGCAAAGGAAGCCAAAAGGGCAGCAGTATTATAAGGGCAGGGCAATCTAATAAACCAAACAAAAGACATAACCCAAGGTTAAATACAACAATTTCTAAAGCAGTACATTATTTAAACTTGAAGTTTCTATAGGACTTATATTTTAATTATGAACTAATGAACCTATCTGATGAAAAGAATCTATGCTACATGTAACCTCTTTCTGATGTATAATTTAGCTGCAATGAACAGAAATTATTTACATAATTCAGAAACAATTGCATGTTAAAAATTAAAAGTAGCCCACCTTCCAGTAAGAATGTCTTGCTTAATTTGCAAAAAGTATTGGTACCTTAAAAGAAGAAAAAAAAAGAAGGCCATTTACTGAACTTGCAGCATTTCCTTTAAAAAGCTATATACTTGCACTAACAAATGAAATGGAAATATTTACATACTAGCTTTTATAACATCTGGACACTTTTAACGATATGAACTCAAATTTTAAAAGGTGTTTGATGTATAAAATTCAGTGCTTCCATTGTCTTATTTCCACTACACAACTCAAGCGTCTAAAGAATTAAACGAGTGGTAAACTATATTAGAGAGATATACTCTTGATGATGGTTGCATTTCGAAAGCAGAACTGGGAAGCACGGAAAACCTGAGCCAACACATCACCAATGGTGGCAACACTAGAGAGAAATAGCAGAGCATCACGCTTTCTACGAAGACAAAGTCGGCTTCAGCCATCGTCTCATGTGTTATCACCCAAGAGTTCACTTCTCTACCACTGTTCTGTCAGTAGTAGATTTAGCAATTAGTTGATTTTCTCTAAAAACCAATAAAAATAGGAGTAAAGGTATACTTTCTTTTCAGAAGTTAGCTTTATACCACGTTGCTTGTACGAAAGACATACACTAGTACCTGGTGTGCTAATTCAAAGACACTGGAAGCATGTGCCAAAAAAATCAAAGGGGTGAGGGGGCTCCAAACGATGAACATTTGTTTTGCAGCAAGTCCTTCAAGAGGCAGCATGCACCCCAAATAGCAAGGGTAGGTTTGGCAAGCTCACCCTCTGGCTACTACATTCAGCATTAATCCACCATAGCTTTGACCTATGTTTGAGAAAATCTACGCTTCATTTCCATTTATTTTTGTGCATCTATTAACAAGATGTGTCGTAAACAGCGAGCACGAGTGTTGTGCTTTGCACATAAGTTATGTAAGTGATATAAGTGTTTTGATCATAATGAATGGGAAAAAATATTGTACGTGTGCTGGACTTGCCTGGACCCACCATTCACTCACACTATTTATTTAGAGAGAATCCTAAACGCTGCTGAAGTTACTATTGGTTCTGCTATTAGCAAAATGGTTGTTTTATCTAGTAATGGGTAAGATAGAAAGCCTAATCTTGGAGTAGATTGGTGTCTATCCAAAGTATGGTATTCCAATACTGGGGCGAAACACTAAGGGTGTGCAACAGAACAGCAAGGGGAGCAAAGCAATGAAGCCCCCAAGGAATACCAAAAATAGACTTTAGGGCCATGGTGTAGCACCCCATCAGACTCAAGTGGAAAACACTAATAAAGGTCAACAAACAGACCCGGAACTATTTATAGGCGTTTCTTTTTTTGCTGTTGATTTTTGTTGTTGTTCTGTTTTTGTTTTCTTTTGTTATGTTTTGCTTTGTCTCATTTTTGTGCTCATTATTGTTTCTGCATGTCATCTTAGATAAGACAGACGGGATAAACGATCTGAAGGAGAAAACAATGGGACCAAAAGGTCTGGAGGGACATGGAAGAGAGGGAGGTGTGGGTGCCGGTGGTAGGGGGTGTGGGAAGGGGCGTGCCAACAAACCCAAGGGCAAATGAACAAGTGATCTAAAATGGTAAGGAGGCCAAACATGACAGTGGGACAAGAGCAAAGTAAAAGAAAATAGAGGAAATAACTAGGAGGCAAAGGACATTTATAGAGGTCTAAATACAGGCATGTACATAGGTAAATATATTTATATAATAGGAAAATAGATCTACGTGCATACATTTATTTGTTAAGTATTAAGGCAGCAGATGAACACTGATTCTCCATTCAAGTACTCCCTCAACTCAAGAACACTGTGTTCTAATAACCCGACATTTCATGATGTTCACCTTCCCTGACTCGATTGCTGAAGGCAAAGCGGGTACATAAGCAAATGTGGTGAAGAAAGCTGATGGTGCCCAGCTATCAAAAGATATCACGTCTGGGATCTTAAAGGCTTGAAGGTAAACAAGTGGCCATCTAGCTGGGAAGCAACCAAGTCCACATGGAAGAAGCACACCAGCCTATGTGATCACGAGGTGTCGATGGGATCAGGGATGAGGCATCAAAGACCCAGAATAAAAAATCAAATTGATGTGAATGAGGGGGAGGGTGGAGTGGAAACCCAAAGCCCATCTGTAGACAATTGGACATCCCCTTACAGAAGGGTCACAAGGAAGAGACGACCCAGTCAGGGTGCAGCATAGCACCGATGAAACACACAACTTTCCTCTAGTTCTTTAATGCTCCCTCACCCACCCGCTATCATGACCCCAATTCTACCTTACAAAACCAGCTAGATTGGAGAATGTACATTGGTACAGGTAAGAGCTCACAACACAGGAAATCCAGGACAGATAAACCCATCAGGACCAGTAAGGAGAGTAGCAATACCAGAAGGGTGTGGAGAAGGTGGGGGGAGAAATTATCACAATGATCAACATATAACCCCCGCCCAGGGAGTGGACAACAGAAAAGTGGGTGAAAAGAGACAGCAGTCGGTGTAAGACATGAAAAATATATATATATATATATATATACACACCTTGATTTTTTGGTGCATATTATTATCTCTACAGATCTATCTAGGCTGGATGAATAGTCTGGGGGAGAAAACAACGGGACCAATGGTTCCAGGGAAACATGGGAGAGGGGGAGGCAGGGGAAAGGAGGTGGTGCTGACCAACCCGGGAATGGGAGAGCAACAAGTAATCCAAAATTAGTGGCAAGGAGGGTGTGAGAGGCCTGGTAGGGATTCAGCAAGGGCAATGTAACCGAGAGAAATTACTGAAACCCAAATGAAGGCTGAGTATGATAGTGGGACAAGAGGAAGTAAGAGAAAATAGAGGAAAGAACTAGGTGACAAAGGGTATTTATAGAGGTCTAAATACAGGCGTGTACATATGTAAATATATTTATATAAGAGTGTGGGGAAACAGATCTACGTGCACATACTTATAGGTTTAGTATTAAGGCAGCAGATAGACATTGGGCCTCCACTCAAGCACTTACTCATTACAAGAACACATTGTTCTTTTAAATTGGCATTACAAGAGCACACCTTGCAGACAAGATCGCTGAAGACAAATGGGGGCATAAGCAAAATGCGATGAAGAAAGCTGATGGTGCCTGGCTATCAAAAGATACAATGTCTGGCGTCTTAAAGGCTTAAAGAGAAACAAGTGGCCATCTAGCTCAGAAGCAACAAAGCTCACATGGAAGAAGCACACCAGCCTATGTGACCATGAGTTGTCAAAGCGATCAGGTATCAAGCATCAAAGAACAAAAAAATCATATCACTGTAAATGAGGGTGAGTGCAGTGGAGACTCAAAGCCCATCGGTAGGCAACTGGACACCCCTTACTGAAGGGTTGTGGGGAGGAGATGAGCCAGTCAGGGTACAGGATAGCAACGATGAAGCATAACTTTCCTCTAGTTCTTAAATGCCCCCCCTCCCCCACTATCATGATCCCAATTCCACCTTACAAATCTGGTAGACTAGAGGATGTACACTGATACAGAGAGCAACTGGAAACACAGGGAATCCAGGACAGATGACCCCTTCAGGACCAGTGGTGAAAGTGGCGATGCCTGAAGAGTGGAGGGAATGTGGGGTGGAAAGGGGGAACCGATTACAAGAATCTATATATAGCTTCCTCCCTGGAGGATGGGCAGAAGAGAAGAGGACAAGGGGTGGGGGGGACACATCGGATAGTGCAACATGACAAAATAATTTATGAAATATGAAGGGTTCATGAGAGGGGGGGGAAGGGGGAGGAAAAATGAGGAGCTGATATTAAGGGCTCAAGTAGAAGGCAAATGTTTTGAGAATGATGATGGCAACAAATGTACAAATGTTCTTGACACAATGGATGGATGTAAGAATTGTGATAAGAATTGTACGAGCCCCCAATAAAATGACTAAAAATACACACACACACACACACACACACACACACACACACACACACATTATCAAAGGATCATGAGAGAGGGAGGGTGGGAGGGGGGAAATGAGCTGATACCAAGAGCTCAAGTAGAAAATGTTTTGAAAATGACAATGTCAATATATGTACAAATGTGCTTGACGCAATGGATGGATGTATTGATTGTGATAAAAGCCTCCAATAAAATGATTTAAAAAAAAAAAAAAGAATACTCTTCCCTCAGACTTTCATTCACAGTTCTAAAGTTGGAATACCCAAGTGATCCCCCCTCCGCAGTATGGGGTGAATATGTTAATCCCTTTGTTGAAAAATAAGGTGAATAATCTTGAAAACCAGTGTCTTGTGACTGGATCACTGTGCAGCTCTTCTCCCTGGCATTGTGAAGTAGGATGGTGACGTTTGTGTTGTGTCCTTATCACTAATATGACACTGTATGACCGAGGTCTAACAGCCACAACGGAGGCTTGGTCCTGGAGGTGCAGTGGGTTATGCATCGGGCTGCGAATTCAAGGTCAGCGATCAGCCAGGGAAAGATGAGGCTTTCTCCTCCGGTAAGAATTTGCAGCCTTGGAAACTCAAAGAGGCAGTTCTACCTTTTCCACCTTGCTATGCGTTGGAATCTACTCAATGACAGTGGAGTTTAGACATACAAAATATGATGCATCTTACTGTCAATGGCACTGACACAAAAGCAAAATCTGAAGTCTCTTTGTAAGTAATCTGAAAAGACTACTATATAACATTGGAAATCATCCACCTTGAACACACTCTTGTTAGGCTAACAGTTTCAATGTCTGGAAACAGTGACCCATTTTAAAGACTTTGTGACTTTAGCCAAGGAGGATGAGTTTATGGAAGTTGACTAAAGTACTGGTGAAGAGGTTTTGACCGAGAACTAATGAAGAGCTGCTGCAATGCCAAGGACGGATAGACACCAAAACCAAACCAAGCAGTGAATGGCCCAAAGGTGAATTCATCCATTCAAAGATTTTCACTGTGACTGACAATGCTGCAATGATTGTGGGGAAGCATGATTTTAATTTGGAAAGAGCCCATAGGTTAGGGCAGGTTTGCAAGCTGTTTTTAGTGCCTTCAAAGAACT